TGTGTTCTCTCTCTCTCTCTCTCTCTCTCGATTTAAGCTGTCACCATCTTATTATTCTTGTCACACACACAAGAGGGAGGGAGAGATGAGATGATCCTTTTGTTATCTTCTCATCTCAGGTTCTAAGTGGTGTTGCTCTTTTGTCTTACAGAGCTGCTAATGTTCCCAAGGACAAAGAACATCCATATGGTTGGTTTCTCTCTCGCCTACCTATAAAAAAAAAACACCTTTTTCTTCTTCTCTTTCATTCATTGCTCTCTCTCCCCGCAGGTCATGGTAAATTTGAAACTCTTGGAGCCCTCGGCATCTCTTCCATGCTTTTGGCAACTGGCTGTGGTATTGGCTGGCATGCGTTACACCTTTTCTTTGTATGAGCTTTCTTTTACGATCATTTTCTTTCATCTCCCCTTTCTTTCGTGATTATGATTTGGTCCTCATGTCTCTTCTTCTCTCCTCCCCAGACTGCGCTGTCCTCTGCTCCTGAGGTGGTTCTTGCTCACGGTGCTCATCATCACGGGATTGATATGACTCATCCCGTTCTCGCTTTCACTGTAACTATTGCTTCCATTTCTGTCAAAGAAGGGTACTTTACTTGAAACAGGACCAAATTAGATTGTTTATTTGTCACATTCGTTCACCCCTACCTGCCTGAACCTTGTGCTTCTCAGTCTTTACTGGATCACAAAACGAGCAGGAGAAAAAGAAGGCAGTGGATTGATGATGGCTAATGCATGGCATCACCGATCTGATGCAGTTTCTTCTCTAGTTGCACTAGTTGGAGTTGGTAAGCATTTATATCCAGTGCTTATATATGTAAATCGACTATATCCTTTGTTTCATTGTCTTAGACCTGGTCATGCATACCATCATCAATAGAGGGAGACAATGTAGCTCTCTGAATTCCATTCATTTATTTCTATCATGTCTCATAAATCCACGCCTTTTTCATGTGCAGGAGGTTCTATTTTCGGAGTCAAGTTCTTAGATCCTCTAGCTGGCCTTGTTGTCTCCGCTATGATTTTCAAAGCCGGACTGGAAACAGGACACCAAAGGTACTCACGCTATATATGTCGCTTCAATTAGTTTTCTCTATGAAAAGGTAGTATTGTCTTCGACATGGAATACTGGCCACAATTATGTCTTTTGGATCCAACACCATCTCCATTGCTCAAATTTCTTTTCTTTGTTTAGTGTCTTGGAACTGGTGGATGCTGCTATACCAGCTCAACAATTAGAGCCAATAAGACAAACCATATTACAGGTTGAAGGAGTCAAGGTACAGATTGTGGATCCTTATTCCTTGTACATTTCACGATTATAAGCATTCAAATAAATAAACCTTGTTATATAACTACATATGGTATTCTTTTCTAGATTCAGTTTATCTTTATTTAGAAAGCATGCCTTAATGTTTTTTTTTTTGTTATTAATTGCTAATGAGTGTCATGATATTCTTTATCCATAGGGATGTCATCGGCTAAGGGGTAGAAGAGCTGGTTCATCATTGTATCTTGATGTACACATTGTAGTGAGTGCTGTTTCCTTCTGTCTCAAGTAGAAAAAAGAATCCCAATAAAATCAATCATTATTACCTTTTCGGCTTTTCCTTACAGGTAGATCCTTTTTCCAGTGTGAGTGTTGCACACGAGGTAGGAGAATATGTACGGGGACAGATTAATATGAACCATCCTGAAGTGTCTGAAGTTTTTATTCATATAGGTAAGCAGCATGCTGCATGGTGAGATACGTGTCTAGCCAACTTATTCACTACTTCTCGCTCTTAGCTATTATCTTGAATTTTCCTTGCAGATCCAGCCTTTTTACAGTTTTCTTGTAGCATGGTGGATCATGACAGTATAACAAATGAATCTAATCAAGAAAGTAACATCTGCCGAGAGATTAAACACGTCGAAGCCATTGTCTCAGATGTTTTTTCGTCACAGTTCTCTGAGGTACTCCTCTGTATATTTTTTTTGCTATAGTCCGGACCATACCCAACTTCTCGTCATTTCTGTTTATTTGTTTAAAGACAATGGAATCTCTCACATATCTGCAGAAAATGACGATCAAACGAGTTACACCCCACTTGTTGCATAGCAAGATCTTCCTCCAAATCGTAGTCTCCATGCCATCGACCATGACAATACAGTAACGCTCTTCCATGTCTGTACTTGTAAGGCTACTCTCTTGTAACTATCTGACGAGTATTTGGGTGCTCTGCAGGGACGCCATGAGAGCCGCTGAAGATGCAGAGGAAGAGATTCTGAAGGCAGCCCCAAATGTGGCTCGTGTCAGCATTCAGCTTAGTCTTAAGAACTCCTTGCCGCAGTAATTAGCTTTGGTGTTTAAGAAAATAACAAGAGAAATTTACCCTGTTCATCGAAGTTGTTTCTTTGTTATGAACAATTTTAATGTCGAAAGTTTGCAACTTGGTGACCCCAAAGCTGAGAAAAGTTTTGGGAATGTAAAATTTTTGAGTACTGATTCTGCATTGGATACGATGAAAGTAAAATAACATCACAGCTTCCCATAGCTTCTTTCAGCCTTGACTGTGCTCAATGAGGGTAACAGAAACAAAAGGCAAACCATTCTCTATAACTATGTTGCTATATCAACTATAACTGCAAAGTTCATCCCCTTTTGGCGCTTGTTCTTGAGGTAGATGCAGAAGTGTCAGATTTCAGATCGCAGCTAGTCTATTCACTCTCGTCAGTGTTTGAACCATCTTCTACAGTTCCATTTCTGAACTCAGAGGACACCAGTGAGCAACGATGGCTGCGCTTTTTAGACTTTTTTCTTGACTTGCTTCTGGACTCCTCCGAAGCCTTTCTCTTCTTCGAGTTACCAAGGTACCCAAAAGCAAAAGCTTCCAGTGCCTTTGTAGTCAATGGTCGGGTCCTTGTACTCTGCCTCCGTCCAGGAAGCAGATCCGCGGTTGCCTGCAGCTCCTGAGGGTTACACTGCTCCTGCTCTGCACAAGAGCTCTCACTGTTCTGCATAACGTCTGTGATGACAGTATCAGTGCAATCAGCATCACGTTCTTGTGAGATTTGTGAAACGTTCAAGTCAAAATCTTCTCTGGTTTCAGATCTTTCTGGTGATATTTCTCGATCTTCGTTTCCTTGACAAGAGCTATCGGTTGCAACGGAACTGGTTGATGACAATTTCAGACTTCGATCTTGATCGATGTGCTCCTCTCTCATCAAATGTACATTTAGATCAGCTCCTAACGGGGTTGGTCTCATTTGTTTACCCTTCTTTACTGGTTTCTTCTTCCTAGACTGGGTTTCACCAAAACAACCTGATTCTCTCAAGGTACAATCTGCCAAGCTACTCCTTTTTGCGCAGACAGGTAACTTTGGATTTCTTGGTCTCCCACCTTTCCGGTTCTTCTGCTGTCTCTCATTGAGAGAAATGGTGCTTCTACTCGTGGCATTGTCCATGTTTACAGAGCTGCTCTTACCGGAACTCATGCTGCCCCCACCACACACTATTGAAGCCATTGACTTAGCTGTCGTCTCTGCCTTGTTTTCAGATTCTTCTGACATGTTATCCTCAGATTCACTCAAGTAATCTGGGGAGTTAGCAATTGAACTGCCGGTCTCAATAGGCAAAGATCTTAGCTCTTTCAGTGTACTTCCTACTACACCATTCGCCTCACTGGTATCCACAATCGTAAACATCACAACCTCCTGAATTTTACTTGTTTTGCTGCGAGGTTGTAGGTACCTTTTCTTCTTCTTGCTGTTTGGTGAAGAATCATCAAACTCCTCTAAATTTATGGGCGGATCATTCTTGATATCCTCTTCTTTGCCGACTTTCTTCTCTAGATCCTCATCAGTTTTGAGCTCAAGAAGCTTGGGATCTAAAGCAACTTTTTTCAAGACATCAGTGAGAGAATCAAAGTAGTGATTACCCTTTGACATCTTCCTCCTGGAAAACTTCTTGACTTCCGGTATGAGAAAAACAAGAGAGTTTTTTGGACCATCTTTCGGCTGCTCAGAGTGCCATCCTCTTGCCAGTAAACGTGGCCAAACAGCTTCCCAGAAGAGGTCACTGGAACGTGTTTTGCTCATCCTATATTCTCCGGTTAGGAATTTGACTATATCTGCAACCGGAAGATCATTGCGTATTTGTACTTCGGAATTACCAGAGGTTCCATGATTCGACTTGGTTGGCTCTAATGTGCAGTTGGTCAGATCTCTTTTCCCTTTACCTATACCAATAACTTCTGTAAGCATATCACTACCTACCGTATTCTTTAGAGTGAAAACATAATCCTCCAGTGAAATCTTATTTTCCCTAAAAGCTTTAGATACCTACAAAAAGAAGACATGGAAATATCTCAAGAATCTGCATTTTGATAATCTTCATTTGAGAGTCAGATCACTCCGCAACCATTAACTAACCAAAAGCATATGTACCTTAAGCAAAGTAGTCTTGCATTCATCAGATACATGAGACGAGATCCGAGAGAGCAACTCTTGTTGCCTCCAACCTGATAACAACTTTTGGCCTTGAACAGACCGTCTGCTTCGCAACTTGCGTCCATCAACCCATCTCTGGTATTCACTAGACCTGTAAAAGCTTCCGTAATAGTAGGAGAGCATATCCCCCATCAGCTTGGTCCCAAGGAATCTCTGCACCAAGACAAGGTTTTTCCCAAGACAGTAGAGGCCAAGAAGGAACCTCTCTTGCTCAGCATCATCCCAAGATTCACCCAAAGAGCCAGGGAACGGATAGAGGCTCTTGTCAAGCCAGTCAAACTTGAACTTGGCATTTCTTTGGCATGGCAATGCAAGCACGATACTCCTTGGTTTCAAAGTAGCAGCCGGTTCAGCTATCTCCGAGGGTTGATGAGTAGACGGACTAGTGCCTTTTTCACTCTCGGGTTGAGAGAAACCTCTGAATTTCTCACTTCTAGTCCACATGAGAGGGATAGGCAAGGCAAATGTAACTAGGTTGTGCAGGTGAGGAGGCTGTGATTCGAAGCATCTAGTGAGGTTCAAACGATCATATTCTGGTATATCTGCCTGGTACTGATCTCCAACACGGGGAAAGGCCTCGGGGTGTCCGTAAATTCCATTGAGATATGGGGAATTCAGTTGCTTGGAGGATTCATCGACACAAACTTCCATGTCATGTGAATGAATTGGCTCCATCTGAGGAAACCACCAAAAGAGTCCAAATCAAAAAAAGAAAGAAAGGATGGAGCTTGGTAACAGTTTGAGAGGCATACACAAATGAAGCACACATCCAAAAGCATTTGCTCTAAAGACAATTTGTCAAAGTCATCCCCAAATACATACAAACTTGAAGAAGAAAGAAACCCTAACATTGAAAGAAATGGACGAGGTCGGGAATGAAACCCAAAGCTGCCGTCAAAACAAAAAACATCATCTTTAAGGGAAACAAAAGACAAGTGACCCCAAAAATTCATAAAGCAAAACCCAGAGAAGCCACAGTACAATCGTCTGGCTACGAACGAAAATGTAATAATAATAATTATAAAAAAAAAAGAAAAAGAAATAAATGAGAAGGAAGCAACATTTGAACACCGACCCGACCCGACCCTCGTATTCGTACCTCAAACCAAACTACTCATGGAAGAAGAAGAAGAAGAAGAAGAAGAAGAAGAAGAAGAAGAAGAGTATGGTCAGTAGTTGTTCAACGTGGAGGAAATAAATCAAGAAGCAGAGCAAAAGGAGGAAAAAAAGGGGTCGAAAGAAAGAAGAATCTATTTATTGTATGCAGAAGAATATGAATCAACAAGATGTCAAGTTCGAGCAGCTAACGATGATACCAACAACAAACGCCGAAACAGACAGAGCGATAGACCAAATTAAAAACATAAAAAAGAGGAAGAGGAAGAAGAAGAAGAAGAAGAAGAGGAAAGAGCTTTCAGATTTACCTCTGTGTGTCGTGAGAAAGAGCTTTTGCATCAAAAAAAAGAAAAGAACTTGTTTCGAATTCTCTCTCTCTTTAAGTCTCAGCAGTCGCGCAGAGGAAGACCCAACCTTCTTCTTCCCCCTCTCTCAATATGAAGAAGCTGCTAAACGCAATTTAGGAAACCCATTTATTAAACTACATATTCTCTCAAATCAAATATTTTTAACAAAAATATGTGAAAAATACATAATACTTAATAATATTTTATGTATGTGTTTGCTTTCGCATATGGAAATAAAAGAGCGTGAAACACCACGCGCGGCCTTCTTCTTCGTTCGTAGTAAAAAAAATAAAGTAAAAGAGAAATGGGATCTTAATCTTAAATTAAATATACCAGAATTAACCCGACGGCTGTCTCTTCGTCTTCTTTTTTGTTTACCTCCATCTTCTTCTTCGCTCCTATGTTTTTTTTTTTTTTAATCTTCTTCTAATAAACTACTACTAATCACTTTTTAATTACTAGAATGTACTTTGTTGTAGTCGCTGTATATTGATAACCTTTGAGCTGCGTTTTTTCTACCTTTTTTATTTTTATTTTTTACAATACTATAAAACAACTTAGTATATTCTAGTAATTTTAATATGGAAAATTTATATAGTCCTCCTCCTATATTGTCAAATGTTTTTTTTTACTCGCTATTAAAAGGGAAAAAACAATGCTAGCTTTTTTTTTTTTTTTTTATATAATGTGTAACTTTGGTTGGTGGTTTATCCGATGAGAGACATGCATACGATTACGAATACGAACGAGATACTAAAAAATAAGAATCAAAAAGAAGATTACAACCAGTCCATCCATCATATAAGAAAAGCCTAATCAACAAACATCGGTCAGCCCAAGCCTTACTATGTAGGCCTGACGAATGAGCTTTCAGTGGATCATTCACTATTCAGCCCAGTAACTCCAGGTCCAAAATTCATTCCCGGTTTTGGGTTTGGTCCACTACTTATATAATATTTCTCGCTCTCTTGTATTTCGAACATAATGTTGTACGTATTTTGTCTAATATACTCTCTTCTTTTTTTTTTGTTTAATTGACAATTTCATTAAATTGTAGTATAGTGTTGATACAAATAGTTTACCAACCAAGATGGGTGGTACAGAAAACACTTTTGATACATGGAATTCTTATAAATAGCCTTTTTTTAGTTAACATATCAACAGCTGCATTTTTCTCTATTAACCGATAGAACTCACTTCTTGTTTTACAATAATTTCTTCTTTTTAAAAAAAAAAGGAAACGGAAGCAAATAAGTAAAAGACAGACTTAACTTTATATTAATAATATTAAAACATACAGAAATAATGACTTTTAATGTTAAATATATAGCATGGACCACAAACAACTACTCGCACGCTTAATAGATTCACTAAACTCCAATTATTTACAAGTGGGAAAATTTAGTTTAAAATAACAAAAATGCCATGAAAATGTTATTATACATAATATTTTTTTTTTTTGTTAATATAGTTCATAAACGCCATCATGCGGTTTTGTTTATAATAAAAGTTTTTTTAATATAATAATAATTAAAGAGTCGTACAATAATATGTTTTTTCTGTATCCGTTGCAATTGGTGGTCTGATCGACCGTTGGCCGACACTTGTCCTCGGTTTAGTAATGTTTTTACATATACATACTGATACTACTAGTCTACTACTAATACAAAGTACTAACTATATATATTTATATATATATATAAGTAATCTGTGACTTATTAGGTTTTTCGGGAAAACAAATAAAATAAATAATAGACAAAAATAGTCATACTCTTCTAGAAGAACACCTCCAAAATCATGTTATAAAACTTTTTAGAAAAAATAATAGAAAAAAAATTGAAGAAACAAAAGAAAACGTTTTAAATAAAATTTTTAAAAATCTACTATGAGTCTTTAAAAGATACATAAGGCATCCGAGGCATAACCCAACATTTAACAGCTCAACCCGGGTAAGAGATTTAATGCGAAAAAGCTTATTAAAACAATGTTCTCGTCTAAATCAAATAGAACTAATTCTAAAAACCTTAAATGATTTATTATGATTATGAACTAAAAACTCAAAAAAAAAAAAAAACACTATTATAAGAGATATAAATTAAAAGTAGGTAAGTATAGAGAGAGAGAGAGGTTTGAGTGCCAAAATGTAACATTTCATCAACATTTTTAGTATCAATGATAACCATACTGCTTAAACTATACATAATGGGGGGATCTTCAATATTTGGCAAGCAGACTACTAATTATAGAGCACACGACGTGCCCTTATATGGTCCACACGTTTCCATATATTATTTGTTTATTATTATTCTAAATCACTTTAGTTCTTACTTATCTCATAAAATTCAAACCTTAGCTTTTAAAAGGGTTTAGGAGACATTAATTACTACTAGTAGTAGAAATAAAGCTCTGACCTGCCACATTGTCTCCCCAGTCAGTCCCAAGTGAGTGAGAGACCTCTCTCTCTCTCTCTCTCTCATTGGTTGTATGTCGACACGTCATCACCATCTATGACCAAAACCAAATATATATATATATATATATTACTAAATAAAGTAAATATAGATAGATTACTCCTTTTTTAGCTTAGCTGCCTTGTCAAGTCTGTCATTTAATTACTGAAATCTCTGTCAGAAGGAGCATTTTCAGATTCCTTTATACATTGCAATTTTGCCAACACTACACTATTACTATACATATGATCATCTCCTTTTAATATATATATCTCCTAATCCTATCTCCTCCTTTTTTTATAATTAAGATTTTTTCTTTTTTGATATGGCGGGTGATAACCCTTGGTTCCAAAATCCAACCCCGCGATACCAGAACTACAACTTTGGGAGCAGCTCATCTCGTGATCATCATGGCGTGGATGATGATCGCCAAGAAGAGGAAAACATAAAAGAACAAGACAGGCTACTCCCAATAGCTAACGTTGGAAGGATCATGAAGAACATTCTCCCACCAAACGCCAAGATCTCTAAAGAGGCCAAAGAGACCATGCAAGAATGTGTCTCCGAGTTCATAAGCTTCGTCACAGGAGAAGCATCCGACAAGTGCCACAAGGAGAAGAGAAAGACCCTTAACGGAGACGATATCTGTTGGGCTATGGCAAATCTAGGTTTTGATGACTATGCTGGGCACCTTACCAACTACTTACATCGTTACAGAGTTACCGAAGGTGAGAGAGCTAATCATCATCATCATCATCATCATCATCAAGGCAAAGGAGCGAAGCCCTAACTTGTCCTCGCCGGACAATAACTGATGTTCCATCCATCTTGTTTTTTTTTTTTTTTTAAATCATTTCATTTCCCCATTTTTAATTATATATGTCATCTTGTTTTTTTTTTTGTCATCTCAGAAATTAAATTACAAGTTTATCGGGAACAAACTCTCCTCTAGGGAGAGCCACGACGGTACCGATGTGCTTGTATAGGAAAAATGAACTCCACGACTTCTTTCTTTCTTCGCAAGGTAGTCTGAGCGCCCGTTTTCCTTCCTAGGAATACGGCGGATACTAAAGTTCGAAAATGAAATCTTTATATCACAAAAAGAAGCATACTCGGCTGCAAACGTGGGCCAATCCGACGGCGCCTCCAGCACAGCAAGGATATCCGAACAATCTATGGCAAAGCAAGCATTGTTCTGACGAAGCTTTAGCATACACTCCATAGCCCAAAGAAGAGAGTCCCATTCGGCATGAAGGGGTGAAAGGGACCTCCTAACACTCTTGAGACCAATCCAAGAGTGGCCTCGCGAGGAATTTTCTCTATCATCCAGTAGGATCCACCCAAGACCACTAAAGGGATCAGAATCAAGCCAGGAGGCATCACATTGACATTCCAAAAGTGGAGAGGATAGGGGCCTATGGACGACCGAAAGAGGTGGCTGAGGGTCTGGCATA